ATAATAACTGACTGCTGGTAAATGCGTCAGTTAGTGAATTTAGTCAGTTAGTGAATCCGGCCCCAGGACGACAAACAACCTAGCATCGAGGGGTAATAGTAATTTTGGGGGCAATTATCCCCAAGACTCTGATTGCTACCTCATGGTCTTGTTCCCCACCCTCCCCAATGAGCCACACTCCCACGATTTTTTTTGCCGAAATTACACCTTTACAGCTCTAGTCGTGGCTTTAAAATGCTCCTAGTATAACTACTTTTCCAAAAGAATTCTCGGGAGGCCTCGCAGCGCCTCAGAAACTGATTGTGCTCGCTGCACTCTCCAGACACCTCCCCCACACACACACACACACGAAAAAGATGAAATGACGCCTCTGTAGTCATGTCATGTGAAGTAAGATGAAACTAGATCAGAAGTTAGCTTCCAAATCTGTTTTTCCTCCCTCTACATCACAACAGTGCCTTCGGTGCCATGGGGACCTTGCGTCAGGTGTCAGGGGAGGAGCTCGAGGCTCTCAGGGACAGGATGACCCAATACCTGCCTTACTCTGCTGGGGTAAGCACTATTTTTTTTTCAGGCATTCAAGAACGTAATGTGATTTATCTCGTGTTATTCAATATTTTGTTTTCAGTTTAATGAGGGGCGACTAAAGTTACCATAGCTTGACAAAGTGATCTCCTCTCCCAACAGATCCACGGGTTCATCGAGATGATACTCAAGTGCCAATTGCAACAGATACTTGACGTTAAGGTGTACATTCCCGATACCCCTCAACCTTCGTCTCTTGTTCTGATCACGCCCTCTTGTTCTCAAGTATGGACGCTTCATACATGTGTATATGTGGTTGATGATGGTAATACTGATTGCAATAGTTAAGACCGAATACCAGTTCTAATAGAACGACTCTCAACGCCTACTTTCATCAACACAGCCAAACATACAGAGTGTGACGATTTTCTGGGATACAGAGGAGGAGGAGGACAAAGATGTTGTAAGAATGCTGAAGACTTTGCCTCAATGGGACTGGTCAGCCCCTATTTACTTCAGACTTAATCCCACTGCTGTTTACAATAAGGCTAGTACTTCATTAAGAAAGAGTGCAACTTTAGTTTGCTTTAAAAAACTGGCTCTATAAAAGTCAGATAGCAGTTAGTTTTTAAATTTGCTTTGTGAATTTTGGTTGAAAGGCTTCATGAAGTCTGATATTGCGACTAATTTTCAGTTGCAACAATACATGACGGATGGAATGCTTACAACTGCACAGATGCGTTGTCACAAGATAATTGATGGGCATCTTTTTTCCTTGGACAGTCCAGATGTTCCACATTTCAAGTAAGATATTGTGAATGTTAGCCATCAGTCTGTCAATGATGAAAGCCATATGAATTGAATCTGGAAAAAAAATTGAAATTTATACATTATATCAACAGAATCCCTGAAGGATTTTCGATCAACAGTCTCCAACCTGAAGACATACCGATAGTTATCTCACAATGGGAGAGCAAGTGGTATGAGACCCAGGCAGGTCTGGAGTCCCTATTGACCAAGTTGCCATCAGTGGCCATCCGCAGTCACCAGACAAACGGCAGTGATGAGTCGGCATCAGAGCACTCAACAGAACGCAGTCTAGTCGCCTTTAGCTACCTATATCACATCGGCTTGTTGGCCAACATCTTCACCATGCCCGAGCACCGGCGCCGCGGGCTGGGCAGGGCAGTGGCGCTCACCATGGTCGAGAAGCTCCGTCAGAAGAAGCTGCCGGTGCGCTCGGTCGTGGACGGCTCCAACGGCGTCTCCATCAGCTATCACCAAAAACTGGGTTTCAAGAAGCAGTGCAACATGAAAATATTCCTTATGTTACCTGTTGGAAAGACGATGGAGGATTATAAGAATGTATTACTGTTCAGTAAGTAATACTTCAGATGTGAGATTCTTTAACAAATTTCATATCAACTAATACAACAACTAGAGAATATGAAGTCAAAATTGTAGAAACCAGAAATTAGGAAAAGAAATGAGTTCCAAGGATATATTTAGAATGGGGTTGTTTCCAAGTGCATTAAAAATGGCTCAGTCTGGCTGCAGGATATGCAAATAACAAGAAGTATTTGAAAACAAGATTTATGATTGCCTCTGCTCTTTGGATTACCTAGTTTATTTCATAGGTCCACAATATAAAGTATTTTTTATGTCATTCTTTTATTTCTCCTGCAAAAACAGGAGGTATGAAAGAAATCTTAGATTTTTCAAAAGTGCACTTTTGATGTTGGCAACAGGCCATCATTAGTAATAAGGCCTTTTTTGTAACATTTCCGAAACCCCTAACACTTTGACACACTGATACGTGTTGACCATTTATGCGCACATTATTGGAACCTGTTGAAACATCTTGATTCGGTTTGATACACTCGGCCAACCAATTAAAAAACGATATTTTTCAGATTTCATATAGTGTCAGATAAGGAATTATATATTCATTGATTACGAATCGCGTCGCATTTTTTTTATATACGTATATAAAGATAACTTCTTTTCAATACTTTGTATGTCTATACAAACTTCGATGATATCGTGTTTTGTAGTGACCGTAGTACAACTTGAAACAATTATTAAAATGTTACGGGTTTCGGAATGCTATAAAAAAGGCCATCAGTAAGACCCTTTTTAGAGCAGCAATATCTGTTATGGCGATGTGTGCCATATTAGGAATTCAAGTCAAATGGAAAATCACACTTTTGTGTTGTGAGCACGATTTATATGTATAGACAGGGTGAATTACATATGTGATCCACATATTATGAAAGATTATCATATAACTGCAGTGTAAATGCCTTCTGTGATATAAATGAGAGCCACTTTGTTCAAGTTCGTTGTTCCAGTGACAGTGATCTGTTTTCCTTTGGCCAGCCACAATGGTTATATGTCTGAAATGTCTGACATGTGCAATTAGAAATGGAAAAAATATAGAGGCAACAAAGGCCTAGAGCAACTGGTCTCAACCTAGTGGCGTTGGCAAGGGTCTAGTGAGGCCACAGTGGGCTGCCAGTGTTGAGATTGTATAACTAAATGTGATAAAATATTCTGAGTTCATGTGAAGTTTTCTTAACAAACCGAATCCAATTAACGCCCTGAACTCACTATAATGATAGCGCTAATTCGGTACAATTCAGGTGCAGTAGATACCAGAATCACAAGATATTTTTAAGGTATTTAAGCGAAGTTCAGCATATATTAAATCGAACAACAGCCTTATGAAAAAGCATCAATCAAAGGGAGCATAAGAAACATTTACATTAACGATGAATTGTATTCATAGTGATAAAAGAAGAAAAGTATGAATGAGAATACCCTCACAATACAAGAGATGTCTTTTACCGGTTTCGAAAATATGTATTTCTGACAAAGATATATTCGAAACCGGTAAAATACATTTCTCGTATTGTGAAGACATTCGATCTCATTCATACCTTTTCTACATTTACACTACGGACACAGCAGATCATTTGCCAACAGACGAAATGTAAAGGATGCAGAATATCCAATATACTAGGAAAAAAAAACTGAAATATATATATATATATATATATATATATATATATATATATATATATATATATATATATTTTTTTTTTTTTTTTTATTGTATAACACGGTTGCTTCATCATGACAAACTGCTTGGACATTTGCTCTCTCCTACGGTATGTTTAGCATGCGCAGCCCTGTTTAAAATAGGTACGAAATTTAATTTAAATGGGTAATTAATTATAAGTTGTTCTCGAAGGCTGATGAAAAGAGTGTTCTGTATTAAGTTAGTGTGTGTGTGAGAGAGTTTATATACATGCCTACTCATCAGAATCCCACGCTTTTCAACATCATGATGAAGTGTGACTTTCTCTCCTAGATGCGCGTTCTCTTCCATAACACAAGAGTCACATGAAACTTTTTTTTTTTACACTCGGGTCTGTTATGTTAATTAACTTAACTATCAAACTATTACCCTCTTTTAATGTAAAATAACTTACACCCACTTCCAGAGTGTTGTCACAAATCAACAGAATCCTTTTAATGAGTAATATTAGAATGATAGTCACTATATCTGCCTCACCAAGGACACACTGACCTACATTTAGGTGCTCGGGACAGACGCGGCCGTCACAGCATACGGTACTTGCTCTGGTAAGTGATGAACCGGCAGGTTTTGTTGATAAGGATAATATTATGGTGAGCATATTCTGCTTTCGGTGAAAGAAACTTCCTGAAAAAAATCTAAAATATCGAAAGTTATGAGAGTCATACCCTGTCTCGTCGTCATTTTAACTGCCAGAAATTCAGGCTTCTATCACCTGTTATCATCTGAAATCTGATTAAGAGGAGAACACTTCAGCCAGTAACAGAACTGCCACTTCAGGCCTTATGATTAGATTCCAAACACTTTCCATGGGGTGTTAGAATGGATAAAATGAAAAAGCCTTAATTTCCGAATGGCCTATAGAAAGATAAAGCCTGTCGTTTGATTCGCTGGTTGGCACATAATTTGATGCACTGTTGCCATATGTTTGGCTCTACCATATTCCTGGGAATTTACAAAGGTTTATAGTTTGTTTTATTATTATTTTTTTTTTTACACCATTACTCACTACTTTGGATTTCTAAATATGAAAAAGAATTGCAGCTTATATAAAATGCAAGTTCAGATTACTATTAAGTGCCATTATAGGTATGACTTGTAAGAAAACATCTAAGATATCTAAAACCTTTTTGTAGCATTCCGAAACCCCTAACGCATTGATACATTGTTTGAAGTTGTATCACGGTCGCCACAAAACACGATATCATCGAAGTTTGTACTGACATACAAAGTTTTGAGAAAATATGCAACGGAAGTTGCATAAGGGTTTGTATATTATTGTATCCACCGTGAATGAGTTCCGTGTCCAAATCAGACAACTGTGCCAGACATGTATTTGATTTATTGATTGACTTGTATCAACAATTCAAGATGCACAGAATTTTCTTAGATATTTTTAAGCTTGCAAGGTTATATTATAGACGTACAGAATGGTTTTGAAGACATCCATCCCACCGAAGTCAATACCACGTCGTATGACTCGGACACGGACACTTTGGAAATTCTATGTCGTTCCAACGTGTCATAATTGACTTCAGATCTTACCCATATAAAGTGAACTTGTATTTGATGTACTGCTAAAAAGGCACAGGATCCTTTTATGCACATCTACAATAAAAAGTTATATAAAGAAACTTATGTTGCGATTCATAATTAATGAAAATACAAATCCCTCTCTGAGAATATGTGAAATATATCTGATTGGCTGCCCGGAATGTATCAAACCATATGAAGTTAAAGGCATACTGTCTGATATAAACAGTTAGGGGTCTCGGAAATGTTACAAAAAATGCCTCCAGTATGCAAACCCCAAAACAGCAGTTCGTCCGGACTTTGAAGATATCACGATTCCTGCTCTATACGAATTATAACCATATTATGGTATGACTTTACTGTTCTGTATTAATTTTTGATATGCTCTATAACTACTTTCATGCTTGTTCATTCATTTTTGCCACAGAACGGTTTGAATATGACTCCACTCGCAAAGCGTAGCTCCGCCCCCTCGATTCCTGGCGTAACAAGAGTCGTGACGGTGGAAATGTGCTTAAGCTCTTATTCTTGCCTGAAACAAGAATAAGATTATTGCCATACATCTATTTGGGAAAAAAGGCCTATGCAGTCGTCATTCCATTTTTTTTTTATAAGAGTGAACTATATCTAAGTGCAATTAATATATACATGTACATATATATGTATGTATGTATGTATGTGTGTGTGTGTGTGCGTACGTGTGTGTGTGTGTGTGTGTGTGTGTGTGTGTGTGTGTGTGTGTGTGTGTGTGTGTGTGTGTGTGTGTGTGTGTGTGTGTGTGTGTATGTGTATGTGTGTGTGTGTGTGTGTGTGTGTGTAAGAAAACATCTAAATACATATATCCTTATGAATATAGTGACATGGAAGCAGATTCTGTGAGGACATTAATGAGAAAAGTGATGGATTGTCGACAAATTTTATTTCGTTTCATATAGAATGGAGGCTAATTTGACCAATTAAAAACATAGATGTAATGATAATGGTAGTGCAAGCAGATGTAGCAGTGATACTAGTCATAATAACAGCAACAATTTGAACGGCAATATCTAAACTGTGTTGTGCCTCCGCCGACTGCTGACTTCTTTCTTTAAATGTATATGTTGATAATTTTATCAGTTATGTATTTTGTTAATTTAGACTTCATAGAAGTGATCTAACCGCTGAATGTGTTTAAAACAAACGGAGGAATGCAGTAAAATAACAGGTTATGTAAGCGGCAAGGCAGGTACAGTGGCCAGCAGAAGCGGTTGCAGAGGATCCAACCTAGGCCGACAGATAACCAGACATCAATAAGCAATAGTCATTTCTTTTTTAAACTGGACTAAAACTAGAAGACGATTTAACCTTCAAAGGTTTTTCCCCCTAGCAAGCAACTCCACGTCACAACAGTACCGTTGGTGCCATGAGGACCCTGCGTCAGGTGTCGGGGGAGGAGCTCGAGGCTCTCAGGGACAGGATGACCCAATACCTGCCTTACTCTGCTGGGGTAAGCCCTGTTTATCTTATCTTCAAGAATTCATGGCCTATTGTTATTCATCTTATAGCCTTCCTTAATTGCAACTATTCAGTTTAAAGAGGATTGATTAAAAGCAAGAAAAAAAGTTAAATAGAGTTGATGAAATGATGGCAAGATCTGTTCCTTTCCCAACAGATCCACGGGTTCATCGAGATGATGCTCAAGTGCCAGTTGCAACAGATACTTGACGTTAAGGTGTATATTCCCGATGCCCCCCAGCCTTCGTCCCTCGCTCTAGTCACACCCTCTTGTTCACAAGTATGGATGCCTCATACGTGTGTGTATGTGCATATGCAGCTAATGATGGCAATAATGAAAGTAAAAGTGAAGGCTTAATAATAGTATCTAAACGCACAACTCCTTATGCGAAATTCCACCAACAGCCAAACATACAGAGTGTGACGATTTTCTGGGACACAGAGGAGGAGGAAGACGAAGATGTTGTAAGAATGCTAAAGACATTGCCTCAATGGGACTGGTCTTCTCCTACTTACTTCAAATTAAGTCCTACAGCCGTTTACAATAAGGTCAGTTGTCCATTAAGAAAGAGTGCAGCTTTAGTTAGCTTATAGATAAGGAAACTCTATATATAAAAGTCAGTTATTTTGATGTATATATTTCAGATGGCAGTTAGTTTCTATATTTGCTTTGTGAATTTTGGTGAAAAGGCTTCATCAAAAGTTCAACCAATGTGTTAGAAGTCTGATATTGTGACTAATTTTCAGTTGCAACAATACATGGCGGATGGAATGCTTACAACTGAACAGATGCAATGTCACAAGATAATTGATGGACATCTTTTTTCCTTGGACAGTCCAGATGTTCC